ACTGCACCTGTGAGCCAGGCGGGCGGGAGCTGACCGTCCACTGTCCGCACTACCCGGGCAGGGCGGTGCCGGCCCTGGACTCACTGACCACTGGGGAGGGGCGGGCTCTGTCTCTCTTCCTGCACCAGCCCGGCCTCACTCACGTAGGACCCGGTGACCTCCCCACCAGCCCCCCGCTCACACAACTCACACTGACCGCCGGTCACTCGCTGACCTATGACCCCGCCACGTTCACGGCCTGTGCCGCCAGCCTGCAGAGACTGGACCTAGAGTTGGGTGCTCACTCCCTGGACACGCCCTTCACCGCCGTCAGTCCCTTCAGCCGGCTGGTCAGCCTCACTCTCCGCTGTAAGCACGCGCGTGTGGCGGCCACGGTGAGAAGCCCCATGCTGTCTGGCGAGGTGAGCCACTCACTCCGACAGCTCACCCTCACCTCTCTCGCCATCTCCTCCCTCACCACCTCCGCCCTCCCCGACCTTCACAATCTCACAGACCTGGCCTTGCCCAGAAATCTGCTCACGGAGGTCCCGTCCTTCCTGGTCACGTGGTCTCTGACGTCACTGAACCTGGAGGGGAACCGGATCAGCCGCCTGACCACTGGTCACCTCCCGCGTACGCTGCAACACCTGTACCTGGCCAACAACAGGATTCAGGTCATTGACCCCGACACCTTCCACCAGCTGCCTGGCCTTATCGACCTTGACCTCAGCAAGAACCCCCAGCTGACCCCGGGCCAGGACACCTTCCGCTCACTCACCCGGGGCTTCCTCAACCTGGCTCACACGCGCCTGGACAGCCTGGACTTTGTGCGTGAGTCGTGGGTGAGCACGGTGAGCCTGGAGGTGAGCGGGGCCGGGCTGCCCTGTGACTGCAAGCTGCGCTACTTCCTGCTCAACAGGACGGCCGACATCTCCGGCACGTGCCTCGACTACGTGGGTGAGCAGGTGCGCGTGCCGGGCCGTGAGTTCTGGGAGTACGTGAGGGGGGTGGACTGTGACTGTCTGAGGGAGGCTGGTGAGTCGTGTGCTCAGCCTGTGCTGGTCTCACACAGCGGGGCGCGCGGGACCCGTCCTGTCTCCTCTCTACTCGCCTTCTCTCTATCCCTCATGTCTCTGGCAACACTCCCCTAGGAACTCCTCTTTACTCGCCTTTTCTCTATCCCTCATCCGTAATCGCCTTCTCTCTATCCCTCCTGTCTCTGGCAACACTCCCCTAGGAACTCCTCTCTACTCACCTTCTCTCTATCCCTCATCCCTAATCGCCTTCTCTCTATCCCTCCTGTCTCTGGCAACACTCTCCTAGGAACTCCTCTCTACCCGCCTTCTCTCTATCCCTCCTCTCTACTCGCCTTCTCTAAATCCCTCCTCTCTACTCGCCTTCTTTCTATCCCTCTTTTATCTCAACAATCTTCTTGCAGGCTTTGTGGCTCACATTCACAGACTGGTAAATATTGGCTCGACAGTTGTAGTAGATATTGACACGACATGTGTACTAGATATTGACACGACATTTGTACTAGACATTGACATAACATTTGTGGGACTAGATATTGACACGACAGTTGTACTAGATATTGACACGACATTTGTGGGACTAGATATTGACACGACAGTTGTACTAGATATTGACACGACATTTGTACTAGATATTGACATAACATTTGTACTAGATATTGACATAACATTTGTGGGACTAGATATTGACACGACAGTTGTACTAGATACAAACATTACATGTCAAG